CACACTTGTATTGAAAAATGTAAGTCTGATTTTATCAACTGTTTCTCATTCATAAACAACCAGAAAAAAGCTATTTATTATCAAATATGAGAGTAATTTTAGCTAAAATTTGTATGTTATTTGCCATTGAATGCCAATCAATGTGTGAATACATGCAAACCAATGGCAGATATAATGGCATTAAAATGTACAGACAATGGACTCTAAAACCATAATTTGTATGACTAGCGGACAGTCCACTCGTTTGATCCGGATTTTGTTTCTAACCCGACTGTCCGTCTATGAGCTCACAAATGGCCACACCTTTAATGACCAACACATCCAAAAGGGTCGCCCTTTCCGTCTCTAATCTTAAAATTAGAAAATAATTTTAATGTTAAAACATTTAAACATTGTTTGCCCGACTGCTTGTTTGCCCGACTGCTTATACCGAGTGCTTATACCGAGTGCTTATACCGAGTGCTTATATAGATAGAATTAATAATTAATTATAAATATTTAAAAATAATAGTATTTTGTATTAAACTTTGTTTAAACTTAGAAATAAATTTAATAACACGTTAAATAACTTTAATTATATGACAATTTATTTAAATACAAAATGAATACAATTTTAAATGAAACACTAAATGACATTAAGTCTCATTAAATCTTATCTCTCGGTTCATATGTCTTATGAATCAAACCGTTTTCACTGATCCGTCACTCATCTTAATCTTCAGATCTGTTGGTCTCTTGTCTTTCAACGACGAAGACATCGATGCCTTCGGGTCTCGACTTTGCGATGAATTCCTAGACTTAGTGCCCGACTGTGTCTCCGAAGACATGCTCTCCAATGGTTTGCTTTGATATTTTTTGTAAACTCTTGGCACAGGATTTGTCCCCATTTTGTAAGCAATAGTTATAATAATTATTATTAATATTATAGCAACCAATAGAATGACTATTAATATCATAATCTTTTTATATGGACTTTCAATGGGATCTATTGTCTCGGCTTTACATCCAATCCATTGAGCGATGGTTTGGTTCAAACAGTTGTCGTCAAACCTGAGAGTCGTGTTATGCAGACGACAGACACGATTGCCGGCAAACAAATAGAAATAGTTATTGAATGCAAAGCCGGCCGTCATTTGTGACAAATAACCGATGATTTCTTTGATGGTTAACTTATTTGGAGCCGTTTTGAGTAATGATAACAACGACGTGTCGTAACATTTCAGAGGAATGGTGTCGCTCTCGTAACAATCTGTCCCATTATAACCCCGATCTCTATAACCAATAGTTCTGCGCCATTCAAACGGCTTGATTACCAAGTTTTCAAAACTAGTATAGTCGGCAATTGATTGATTGGTTTCGTTGTATATCTCTTTTGTTTCCACCCATAAAAGCCATGAAATGCTTTGATTTCGCTGCAAATTAATGATAATTTAAATTTAATAAAAATTTTGCCCAAAATTAAGTTTAAACTAACGTTTCTTAATAAGTATTGCATTGTTTTGTTGAGCCGATTGTACTGAACGTTATTAATGGGACCAAAAATCAAATCACTTTTTGCCCATTCCAAATGCAAAGCCGGCCGTCATTTGTGACAAATAACCGATGATTTCTTTGATGGTTAACTTATTTGGAGCCGTTTTGAGTAATGATAACAACGACGTGTCGTAACATTTCGGAGGAATTGTGTCGCTCTCGTAACAATCTGTCCCATTATAACCCCGATCTCTATAACCAATAGTTTTCCGCCATTCAAACGGCTTGATTACCAAGTTTTTAAAACTAGTGTAGTCGGCAATTGGTTGATTGGTTTCGTTGTATATCTCTTTTGTTTTCACCCATAAAAGCCATGAAATGTTTTGATTTCGCTGCAAATTAATAATAATTTTTGTTTAATTAATGTTTTTGCAAATTTAAACTAACGTTTCTTAATAAGTATTGCATTGTTTTGTTGAGCCGATTGTACTGAACGTTATTAATGGGACCAAAAATCACATCACTTTTTGCCCATTCCTTCAATTTTTGGGATCTATTGTACCGAAAGGTTGTGTTCTTTTGGTTACGACCAATGGTTTTGACAGTCAATTGATGGACACTTGTGTTGTCTGCAAACAAAGTGATGACATCTGATCCCAAATCAGAGTATTTGTCCACAAATGCCGAATCAATTCTGATGTTTGAATTACACAATGGATTCTGTAATTAAATATTTAGTTTAATTATAATTAATTTTAATTTTAATACATAATCACTGACCGATGCATTCAACACAATCACCAGTCGTATTGAAACCACAATTAAACTTAAAATGATATGCATTTAAAGTTTGTATTCAAATAAATGCAGAAATACTATCAATAAATGTTTCAATTGTGATACAAAATGAAAAATAATTTGTATTTAAATTTCAAATAAGAGTTAATTAATTTTAAACAATACTTAACTATAATATTCGCTCTCAATATATTTAAATTTACGTATATTATTATTACATTTATATATTTTTATACATTGTTTTACAATATGAAAAAAATGAATTTTGTTTACAATATCTTATAAAACAACGGTTTTTATCAATTGTTTTACATTCATAAACAAAGCGAAAATAAAAGCCATTTATTATTAAATATGAGAGTAATTTTATACATAGTTTGTATGATATCTGTTATTGAATGCCAATCAATGTGTGATTTAATACAAACTAATGGGACATATAATGGCATTAAAATGTACAGACAGTGGACCCTAAAACCAGAGGCAACACTTAAAATGTATTCAAATGACAAGATGTGGACATTTAGTATACAAAGAGATGAAAAGCAATCACTCGTTGTACTCATGAATTCATCCACCGTTGAGATCATTGACGACAGTTTAATCAGATTTTCGGGCATATATTTAGCAGAAACTACTTTTGGTTACGATTGTGTCATACATTACAACGTAAGTGATTTGTTAGAGAGAGAAAGAGACAGACAGAGAGAGAGAGAGAGAGAGAGAGAGAGAGAGAGAGAGAGATTATATACTGTACTGTATAAATAAATTTACCGGTTTGTTACACAGGATTCAGCCCATTGTAGTCTCGAATACCTAACCAACAAAACAATCAACTTATCTATTAGTCTAAGGTCTGGGCGCAAACTAAAGGGTGTTATATTTAATTCAATGGCTTATGAGTTGAAACACTATAACTTGGTTTTGAATACCAAGAATCGAAAGGTTTCGCTGTTAACCGTAATATACGATAGTTTACAGGAGTCTAACATTAAGATTATGGTTACAAATGAAAGTGTTTGTCCGAAACCATTGTGCGAAAGATTGGCGTTTGTTAATGAAATACCCGACCATTTGTTACACCAATTGGAGGGTATTGTCGACTACTATGTAGACAATCAGACTTTGGTTCATATGTTGTGGTTTAACATTAATGGGCAACCGATGTATTGCTTTACACCCAAAAGCAAACCCCTATCAAAAGAGGTATTTATTATTTGCTAATTAGTGTTTTTAAATATAAATTGCAAATAATTAACCAAATATTGTAATTGTTTTTCAGTGTAAATCAACGCATGATATGATTTTGTATTCACTTAACTGTACCACAGATTCTGGCGATTCTGTGATCACATTATTTATCGTATTTGTGATTCTGTTAATAATATTGTTAATACTCTTTGGATCAGTTGTGGTGATGTTTTACAAGAAGAGAGATAAAGAAAAGAAAGAATTAAAACAGGAGAGCACCGAAAGTATGGATTTAAGTGTTTCCAGCGATTTGTCGGCCATAATAGACGATACAAACCTGTCTTCACCACTAGAATCTGGGTCTAAGTCTTAGCATTTCGATTGGGGTTAATTTATTATGTTTAATTGTAGTTCAATAATGCGTTAATGTATTCAAAAATGATGAGTGAATGACTTAAAACTTTATAGTTTGTTGTGACAATTTGTGTTCAAATTTTTAGTATAAAGTAATTTCAATTTTATTAAAAATCTCTTTAAACTATATTTTTTTTTATTTACTTCATAATTTAAATGTTGAGAGCGTTGTTGTTTTTGTCACGTTGTCATTGTCATGTTTTGAATGTCATAACTGCAATAAAATATATAATTAAGATATATAAAGTTTATATATCTAATTATGTTTCACATTATTTATATAATAATGTTTATCAATATCTATAAAAGTGAGACTAGACTTGTGCGCAAACAACTTTTACACAAACATCATTATAACTCCAATGATAATTTGATTTATAATAAGATTGTAAATTTTATTTTCAATGAAAACGATGTGATTTTAAATGTCAACTGAATTAACGGTTAATTTAATAAAATGTAAAAATCAAATGATTTCAAATATATTTAACATTTATTTAAGAGAAATATTGTTGAAAATGAGAAAAAAGTAACATTTGTATCAAATAACAAATATCTTATTAGCAATAATGAACACAAAATAAGTAATTTTAAAAAGTTTTATATATAATAAAAATTTACCATTAATTGTACACTTCTTTGATTATTTATTTTATCTGACATTTAATATTTTAACTGATACTCAAATACTTGTAATCTTCAGATCTGTGGGTCTGTTCTCATTCATCGACATCGATGTCAACAATTCAGTTGACAATCACTTCAAACAATTGTCAACACATTTATTATCCAAAGATTATGTCTTTGTTTGAAATCTATAACCGACTTCTTCCTGAGATTTTATATTTTCAGATTTAAAATACGTTTGAATACAAATACTGCTATTATAACAGCAATTAAAACATTAAAATGGGGACAAATATCAACTCAAAAATCATTTTGAAAATTATTGTTTACATTAAATAGTGGCGTGAATTGAGTGTATAATGGATTAAATGAAAAAAGTATTGTTTAAATTTAATTAACATTTATTTGAATTTAATGTGAAAACAAATCTTGTTTTCAAAACAAGTGATTGATTTTAACTACTATTCAGTTGTCATTAAATTCTATGCAAATATAAAATGGATGTTATTTTGAAATTAATTGTGGTTTTAATACAAGTAATGTTTGCAGTGAACGCAACGGTCAGTGATTTAAAACATTACTTTAATTAAATACATGTTTTAATTAAATATTTAATCACAGAATCCATTGTGTGATCCAAAGATAACAATTGATTCGGCATTTGTGGACATATACTCTGATTTGGGGTCAGATGTCATCACTTTGTTTGCAGACAACACTGTCTATCAATTGACTGTCAAAACAACGGATCCCATAAATCCAAGTTTCAGATACAAGAGATCCCAAACATTGAAAGTATGGTCAAATTATGGATCTATTTATCCACCCATTGATTATGTCTTATATTATGACAACGGATTTGTCATTGAATTACTAAACGTAAGTCTATATTAAATTAAATGTTAAATGACTTTAAAATGTATTTAAAACAGAAACAAATGCCAAAACGATGGTATTTATGGGCAGTTAATAAGACAATTATATACAGCGATGTACTTCTGAATGAAACGGAAAATCAAGTTTTTGTTGTTTTCCAAAAACTAGTTAAACAACCACTTCATTGGCGCACAACATGGTTGGCTAACACTAACCATAGGTTTGTTATAAATTCAGATTATATGCTAAACGGGAGTCTAAAGACGTCGCAGAATTGGTCAGATTTGATAGGTTTGCTCAATACAGTCGATGATAATAAAGTGACAATCGATGAGATCGAGGGTTATTTGTCACAAACGACGGCCGGCTTTGCATTCAATGACTATTTCTATTTGTTTGCCGGCAATCGTGTCTGTCGTATGCATAACACGACTCTCAGGTTTGACGACAACTGTTTGAATCAATCCATCGCTCAATGGATTGGTTGTAAAGACATGAGAACTGATCCCAAAGATGTCATTAATTATTATCCGATTATACTCTTAGTTTTGATTGTCACTGGGTTTATAATAGCAGTGATAATAGCATTCATTGTATGCAAAAATCGGCCAAAATCTCAACCAAGAGTTTACCAAAAATATAAAACAACTCAAAAGATCGACGATTTGGGCATTGAATCCAAAAATAAGTCAAAGATATCGGAGACAAAGTCATTGACCGAAATGTCGTCATTGGATGAAAACAGACCAATAGATCTCAAGATTACGACCACTACTTCGGCGGCGGTTAACAAAACAAAGTCCCAAACAAATGAAGACTAACTAAAAGCCAAACCATTATTATATGGAAAATAGTTTTTAAACATTTTCTTTATTCAATTTGTAAATCTATTTTTATTACACTTTTCAATTATTTATATTTATTTAATTTAAATTCAATACAATTCTGATAGTATTCTTTATGTTCTTTAATAAAAATGTTTTAATATAATTAATGAATACAATAATAATTAAATTGTTTAATCTCTACTAATATTTATAATCTATTCGTGGATTTGGTTTAATCTTATCCTCTCTTCCAACCTATCTTTCATTGCTCTTAACCTTCAGATCCGTTGGTCTCTTGTCTTTCAGTGACGACAAAGACTTCGATGCCTTCGGGTCTTCACTTTGCGATCCATTCAAAGACTTATTACCCGATTCTGTGTCCGAAGAG